ACCGAAGCCGTCCGTCAAAGTAGCCCTCACTTTTTTCTAGTCTTGGGTTTGCTCCGAAACCCTGCTTTGGAACGTTTAAACTCCTTCTCTTTGTAAGTCTCGTCGGAACCGCCCACGTTTCTTAGGAAAAGAGTATCAGGGCCGACGACAATGAGGACCTGTGCCCCAGGCTCAGAACACATAGGGTGAAAGGAGAAAACTCCCTTAAATTGACCTCTGGGCTGCACGAACAATAAGGAAACCTATTTGGGTTTTGTTTCGGTTTTTTTTTTTTTAATACTTTCTCATTTAGTGTCCGTGTGCGCAGGAGAGGTCAGAGGACAACTTGCCAGAGTCAATTCTTCCACCATGCGGGTCCTAGCTATCAAACTCAAAAGTCATCAAGCTTGGCGGCCCCCACCTTCACCTGCTAAGCCAGCTGGTCCTGGAAACATTTTTTGTATTAAATGAATAGTGTTAAGGTTAGAATAGAAACTTTAAATATCAAATAAGGGCAGAAATAAACACAAGGGGAGAAAAGAAAGTTAAAAGAAGTTGTTACAACAGCGTTTGATAATAATACTGTTTCTATTTTGTAACCTAAGAAAATCTGTAGCCACCAGCGAGACAAGGTGGCTCAGCCTGTCCCCGAACTGATGAAAGTGAGGCATAAATTCTAGGCCAGCCTAAGCCTAGGCTGTCACCATTTGACACGTAATACATTTAATGTTTAATTCAGGCTGGAGTCCCAGGCTGGCATCACATTCACTGTGTATAGCTCAGGATGTTCTTGAAATTATTATTCTCCAGCCTCCACCTCCGAGGAGAGGGGGTAGGGTTAGGATTACTGGTGTGACCCCACTTATGGAACAACCGGTACTTGAATCCACACCAGGCTTTTCACTTGGGTGCTGACTGAAGGTTTGAACTCTGGTATTTGTGCTTACAGAGCAAGTGCTTTTTAGCCTCTGAGTCATCTCCCCAGCCCCAATAACAAACTATTAAAGAATAATTATAATACAAAACAATTAACAATGGCAAGAACATAGTCACTGATAGTGAAAATTTTAAACTTGGAATATCATGCCACTTTCTAAAAATAGGTCAATTTGGGGGCTGTTTGAGATGGCTTAGTGATTAAAGCACTTGCCACCACTCCGGACTTGAATTCAATCCTTGAGATCCACATGGTTAAAGGAGACCTTATTCCCACAAGGTGAGTAAATGAAAAAAAAATGCTATTAAGCAATACCCATTTGCCACAGTCACACATCATAAGGAAGGTGAGGCCATTAGGGATGGAAGTCACTCCTGCCAGTCACCTGGCCCAAAGGCAGCTTCCATCTGTGGGAAGGATGGATAATGTCACTGTTGGTTCTACGGAGGATAAATTATTTCAGCTAGTGGGCTAAGGGTGGTATAGGCCTGCCCATAGGGCTGTTTCGGTGGAACAGTTTAGAGTCATCTGTTCTCAGTAATCTGTATACTCTCATTTTTTGAGCACAGTGAAAACTGAAGCACATGGAGAGTCAATAGGAACTATATTAATTACATCACTATTTGCTGAGAAGGAATGGGGAACCAGATCTTATTGTGTATTTGGGTTTGACCAAAGTGGATTATATTGTCATTAGCCTTGTGTTTGTCACTTCTGGGTGGTTTTCAGCTAAGGTAACTCCTCTTCTCCAGAAGCAGGAGATTCATTTGCACTTTGATATTTAGGTAGGAGTAATCCTGATTTTAGATTTAAAGGAAAGAAGGGAGATGTATTTTTGAATCTGAAGATGAAGTTCCCCCCCCCCCCCCCCCCCCCCCCCCCCCCCCGGGTTTTTTTTTTTTTTGTGACACAGTGAGTTTCATTAGGGTTGTTTACAGCAACATGGGCACCTTACCAGTGGCTATGACCCTTAAAACATGCCTCTCCCTCCCTCCCTCCCCTTTCAACTGTTAATTTCATATGAATTTGGAAGAAGAGAGATACAAGGGCCCCTCCCCACCTCCATGACAGGGCATTAACAGACCCAGTCTCATGTAGGTTGGTAATCATGGCTTCATAACAGAGCCATTCAAGAGTTCGGAGTTCAAGAGTGCCAGCAGGCATGCCATGCCATGCCATACTTGGAACTCTATCCTATCCTCTCCCTCTCCTTCCCAGGATCTTAGATTCTTCCATGCCATTCTCTGAGCCTTGGAGGAGGTAACACAAGATGTATTGCTTATGGCTTGGCACTCACAGTCATGATGCAGTCACTGCTGCCCACTGCAGAAAGAAGCTTCTCTGACCAAAGCTGACAACACTACACAACACCATAAACAGTTACTAAGCAGGCAATTTGATAGCTACATCAGGTCTGTTTAACAAAACACCAGCTGTAGCTTTCCCAGGGGGGCCCAGAATCTCCCCAGTCATGTCCTGTTGGCCGGGTTTACAGGATCAGGCACGAATTCCCTCCTGTGGAGCAGGCATAAATTCCAATCAGATAGTTGGTTACTCTCACAACAGAAATGCCACTGTTGCACCAGTAGGCTCATCTTGCCTGGTCAGTCAGTATTGTTACACAAACAATTCACAGCCCAGTAAGCATGTGGATGACAATTCTCCCCCAACACCCTACTAAGCATTACTAGTACCTTAAAGGCATTACTAGTACCTTAAAGGCTGGCCACAAGGAAGAGGCTGCCTGCCTAATTTCAATTTAATTTCCTTTTGTACTGTGACCAAGATATGTGGCATTTTCAGCAACTGAGTCTTACCATCTACCATCTGACACCATCATAGCTGGGCTTTTTGCTCTTATCTACAACATAGCCATTTGATCACCCTTTTCCACCCCAATCCCTCCTGCTCGTTCCAGTTTCTGGTATTTTTTTTAAGATTATTTATTTACTTATTTATTATATATACAACATTCTGCTTCCATGTATATCTGCACACCAGAAGAGGGCACCAGATCGCATAACGGATGGTTGTGAGCCACCATGTGGTTGCTGGAAATTGAACTCAGGACCTCTGGAAGAGCAGCCGGTGCTCTTAACCTCTGAGCCATCTCTCCAGCCCCTGGTAATGACCATTCTACTCTGCATTCTATGAATTCTACATTTACAAGAGTGAGATGAAGTGGTACTTGTTCTTCTGTGCTTGGAACAATGGAAGCAATTTTTTAAGTAAAATTAAAAGCCAGTAGTGGGGGCTAAAGCTTATTATTCCAGTACTTGGGAGGTGGAGGCAGGAGGATGAAAGCCAATCCAGGCAATAGTTTCTCAAGAACAATAAAGAAAACTCAGCTTGTCATGCATCCCTGTCATCACAGCACAGAGACAGAGGAGGCAGCTCTATTCCAGTTCAAGGCAAGCTTACTTACAGAGTTCCAGCCAGGGTTATATAGTGAGACTGTCTCAGGGAAGAAAAATCAAACACATTTCAATTTTGAAAATACATTTCCATTCAGTGAAATAGTCTATGAGCAAACTAGCATTTGTAGGTATGTTTTGTTACTGTTGTTGCCATTTTTCTTCTTGCAGGACTGAGGATTGAAGTCTGGGCTGTTAACCTTGGTAGAACATGGTAGGCTAGCATTCTACACTGAGCTATAGACTCTCCATAGTTGTCCAGTCTGGCCTTGAACTTACAGCAATCTTTCTACCTCCTCCCACCAATAACATTTGTGTTTATGAAACAAAATAGTGTATTTCTCTGCTGGCACTGTTTTATTAATTTATTTTAAAACAAATTAAACATAAACTAAAGAACCAAAACAAACTAAAGAAAACTTGGAGCCTAGATGCCTATAATCCCAGCACTGGGGAGACTGAGGCAGGAAGGATTGCCCAAGGTGGTGTTGAACTTGCCATCCTCTGCCTTGCTGCAACAGGATTATGGTACACACAACTTAAAAGGCTTTTTAATGAACAAAAACAGTAAAAATTGAGACTCGACATAAAACTAAACAATGTACTTCTGTCCTTTCAGCTCTCTGAGCAGCACCGTGGCAGTCAGCAAAAACAAATGCCTGAAAGAGGAGGCAATCCATTGCCTAAAACAACTTGGCACACTGGGAAAGCTCCAGCTATGTTCATTATTAGAAACACTGGAAAATCAGTAGTCACAAGGACTCAAGGAGCCTAAACTGCATCTGATGGCCTCACAGACTGTGTGTTTGAAGTGAGCTTTGCTGATTTACAGAATGACAAAGTTGCATTTAGAAAATTTAAGGTAATTACTGAAGATGTTCAGGGCAAAAATTGACTAACTTCAATGGCATGGCTCTTATCCTGGACAAAATGTGTTCTGTGGTCAAGAAGTGGCAGACCATGGTTGAAGCTCATGTTGATGTCAAGACTGCTGATGGTTATTTGCTTCGTCTGTTTTGTGTTGGTTTCACTAAAACCAGAAACAAGCAGGTACACAAAAGTCCTGTGCACAGCATCACCAGGTCCACTGGATCATGGAAATCATGACCTGAGAAGTACAGACAAATGACTTGAAGGAAGTGGTTACTAAATGTTTCCAGACAACATTGGGAAAGACATAGAAAGGGTTTGCTATTCCAGTTATCCATTTCACAGTCTTTGTAAGAAAAGTAAAAATGCTGAAGAAAATCAAGTTAGAAATGAGAAAATAAATGGAGCTCCATAGTGAAGGTTCTGGAAAAACTACTGGTGACAAGACAGGTGTTAAAGTTGAATGAGCTAATGGATGGGAACCTCTAGTCCAAGAATCTGTTTAAAACCCAGACTTTTAGTAGGGACAAATAAAAAGTCCTATTTGTGAGAGAAAAAGAAAAAAGAAAAAAATCATTTTCATGTGTAAGTATTCTTTGGTAACTTTAATGAATTCTTTTTTGAGGCAGAGTCTCTTGTAACCCAGCCTGACTTTGAACCCCTTATAGTCAGGAGGCCTCCTGATTCCACCTCCCAGGTGCTGAGATTTGAGGCATGACGCTGAGCCCACCTATCATATCCTTTAATGACTGCCCAGCTCTTATTGGCTTACTTGGATGATTTACTCATTATTGATTATCAATTTCTCTATTCCTGTCAGGGGAAAAAATTCTCTTTTTCATGAATAAAGCAGTCTATCTTCTTCTTAACACTTGAAGAATCTGAGGCAAAGAAAAGGGTGAGCAAGTTCTTAAGATCAATAAATGAGCCAGGTGACGGTGGTGCAGCCTTTGTTCCCAGCACTCAGGAGGCAGAGGCAGGTAGATCTCTGAGCTCAAGGCCAACCTAGTCTACAGAATGAGTTCCAGGACAGCCAGGGTTACACAGAGACACTTTGTCTCAGAAAAAAATCAATAAATGATAAAGAGCAGATTCAAAATAAGACTTGGATGTTTTTATTTATTGGGGGGGGTGCTGATAAGACAGGGTCTTATGTAACCTTCATTCTGGCCCCTGAACTCATGATATAGACAAAGCAATCTTGAATTCCTCTGAATCTGCACCAAGTGTTGTGGTGACAGGCATATATCATCAGAGATGGCTTCTGTTTTATTTTTAAAATCTAGGTCCCCAGACTGACCCCAGAATCAAAATCTACCTGCCTCAACCTTCCAAGTACTAAGAAAATTAAGATTTTTTTTTAAAGCCCATGTCTGTCGTTCTTTTTTCTCTGTGTACTGAATTACTGTATTTATGGTGAACTCGGGAGCTGACTGCACATTGAAATCCCCAGGAGCTTTGAAACCACACCCCAGATCAATGAAGACAAAATATCTGAGGGCGGGTGGAGGGTTGGGATTTTTCCTTTCTTTTTAAGAATTCTGGTCTTGTTTGTTTGTTTTATTGATTGGCTGGTTTTAGGATTTTCACACTGTAGCCCAGCCTGTCCTGGAACCCATGTGTAGCATAGGCTGGCCTCAAACTCATGGCAATCTGTTTGCCCCAACCTCCCACTGCTAGGGTCACAGACATGTACCACCACTCATGGCTCATGTTTAAGCTGAGTTTGAGAGTCATGTGCAGCTGAGTTTGAGAACCACTTGATAAGTTCTTACATTCAAAATGCTGTGAAGTTTGAATGCCATTTGCTATCCCTCATCCCTAAAATGATAGACCCTACACACATCTTTTCATAGTGTAATCTGAGAATGGAATGTAACCTATCAAGGTAGAGCTGTAAGATAAAAGCTTTAATCTTTCTGAAATGCTTTTACTTATAAAATAAAGGGTTTTATTTTTAAATTGTCATTGATACTTGTCATTTCACTTTGTTCATAACCCCACCCCATTATTCTTCCTTATCCCCATTCACCATTTCTGAGATTGATTTCAGTTTTGTTTTTTTGAGACAGTGTCTCACTATGTAGCCTTAACTGGCCTGGAACTCACTCTGTAGATCAATGTGGCCTCAAACTCTTAGAGATCCAC